GACCGTGCGCCACAGAGCTTCGAGCCCGATCACCGGCATCGGGTGCACCAGAGCACCGGCCTGCCGCGGCAGCTCCGGCTCCGCCCCCGGGGCTCCGCACACTGCGGGGAAGCCCTCGCCGCGACCACCGCGCACGCGCACTACGGCCGCACTGCGTCGCCGGTGCCGCCTGGCCCGGCGCCAGGGGAGCCCCGCRCGCCGGCAGCGGGGCTGCCCGGGCGGGGCGGGGCGGCGGCCGCGTCGAGCGACTATTTATAGCGCGGGAGGCGGCCCCGGGCCGGGGAGAGCTCTTCTGCGGCTCCTCGGCGTGCGTGGCGCGTCTAGCGGAGGGCCAAGGGTTCCGTGCGGAGCCGGTGCAGGGCGCAGCCAACGCTTGCGCGGAGGGCAGGAAAGACCTGTAGCCGTGTCAAGGGACAGTCCTAATGGCGCGACAGCACAGTACCGAGCGCGGTCATTTTTCATCGCGTTGAAGTCAGTGGTAGCTGCGGCCACGCAGTACCTGGGGCTCTGTGTCTATCAGCGCCCCGTTCTCAGCTAYGTGAAGGAGGCGCACGGAGCCTGGGTCTGCCCCGGCCTGGCGCTACGGGCCGACCTTCGCCGCTCTCGTCGGGAGCGAGCGGACCARGGCGATCCCGGCAGGCCGCTGGAATCCCGGAGATTCCCCGTTTCCGGGAGCGGGCAGCTCCTGCCTTGGGCGCKCTGCCAACACCCAGAAAACTCCTCCACATCGAGGCTGCCGAGGGCACGGCGCCGCTGACCGTGAACCGCCGGCGCTTGGCTCCTCCGCAGAGACGGAGGGGAGGCGAGTAGTGCGAACTRGGCAAATGGGGTGGGAGCGAGCGGGAGCTTTGCCCGCGAAAACACGGCGGCGACCCCGCGGTCTGCCGGCCGCTCCCCGAGGCTCCTGTGCCGCCTGCCCGGGCAGCAGCCTCGCTTTTCCGCGGCCCGGGACCTCSGCGCGCTCCCGCTGCCTGGGGGCAYGCGCGCGCCCGGCTGCAGACTGSCTCCGCGCCCCCTCAACCCGGGGCCGGAATCGCCATATAAGGAGAGGGAAGCCTCCGCCGGAATCGAGACTTATAAGGTTGTTTCCTAATATGGAAAGTGCGGCGGGGGCTTCCGGCGGGCCGGCCGGGACCGGCGGGGGCCGGACACCCGATCTCCCGGGACCGGCGACGCTGCGGCAGCGCTGCGGCGGCGCTACCCATGGCGAGGGTCAGACCTGCACCGGGCGCGGGGCCCTCAGCCCGGGGCGGGTGGGGCCCCCCGGCCCGGCTTTCCCCGGTGCCAGGCTCTGACGCCAGGCGGGGTCCTCCGGCCCGCATCCATAAAAGGGCTTCCTCCTTTCCATATATGGCCATGTACGTCAAGATTGGGGCGGGCTGCGGCCGGTGAGACCCGATATATAGAGGCGGTGCCGGGCGGGCGGGGAGCCGAGCGCTTCCAGCGGGCAGAGCCAGGGGGAGCCCCGGGCGGGCGGGCGGGCGGGCGGGGAGCCGAGCGCTTTCAGCGGCCAGCGCCGGGGCGACAGCGGTGCAGGGCGCGCAGCAGGCGACGGCCGCTTCGCCGCAGCCGGCCCGTCCGCCGGGCCMACGGCGGCAGCGCCATCACCCGTCAGAGTCGGAGCCCGGCGCCCTCATGGCCGCGGCCAAGGCAGAGATGCAGCTCTTGCCCCCGCTGCAGATGTCCGACCCCTTTGGCGCTTTCCCGCACTCGCCCCCCGCCATGGACACTCACTATCCCAAGCTGGAGGAGATGATGCTGCTCAGCGGCGGGGGTCCGCAGTTCCTTGCCCCTCCCGGGGCACCCGAGAGTGCAGGCTTCGGCGCCGCCGGGGAGCCCGGAGAGCAGCACTTCGAGCACCTCGCTGCAGGTAAGCGCCCCGACCTCGTCTGAGCGGGCGGGGAGTCCCGGTCTGCTGCGGGGGCAGCGACGCCGGCGGGAATCCCGCGCCGCAGCGTCGCCTCTGTCCCGGCGGCCGCGCGRGGGGATTCTCCTGCGTGCGTCAGCGGCTCCGGACTAGCTGCGGCTGGAGACCTGGCAGCGACGCTGCAATATGTTACGCTCAATTAGTAATGTACCAGAATTTGGGCCTGCGCTGTGTGAGGGATGGCTCGCGAAGCCTCGGCAGCAGCTACAGTGGCTGCTGGAATTAACCGCTATTCCTCTCTTTGCAGACACTTTTCCCGAAATCTCCCTGAACAACGAGAAAGCCCTGCCAGAGACCAGCTATCCCAACCAAACGACGCGGTTGCCACCGATAACCTACACGGGGCGCTTCTCCTTAGARCCGGCCCCCAACAGCAGCAACCCCTTATGGCCAGAGCCCCTCTTCAGCCTCGTCAGTGGGCTGGTGGGCATGGCTAATGCACCTGCCACCTCTACRCCTACTTCATCATCACCGTCCTCCTCGCAGAGCTCCCCATTGAGCTGTTCTGTCCAAGCCAGCGAGAACAGTCCAATTTATTCAGCTGCACCAACATTTCCCAATCCCAGCTCTGACATTTTTGYGGAACCCCAGACCCAGTCCTTCCCCAACCCCTCTGGAGCCCCCATCCAGTACCCACCTCCGGCTTATCCGACCGCTAAGACCAACTTTCAGGTGCCAATGATCCCGGATTACCTGTTCCCTCAGCAACAGGGTGAGCTCAGTCTCGTTCCAGCTGATCAGAAGCCCTTTCCAGCCCTTGAGACCAGAGCACAGCAGCCTTCCCTCACGCCACTGTCCACTATTAAGGCATTTGCTACTCAGACTGGCTCCCAAGAGTTGAAGACCCTCAACACTAATTATCAGTCCCAGCTGATCAAGCCCAGCAGGATGAGGAAATACCCAAATCGTCCCAGCAAGACGCCTCCKCATGAGCGACCCTAYGCCTGCCCAGTGGAGTCCTGTGACCGGAGRTTTTCGCGATCCGACGAGCTTACACGGCACATACGCATTCACACGGGACAGAAACCTTTCCAGTGCCGCATTTGCATGCGGAATTTCAGCAGGAGCGACCACTTGACCACCCACATCCGCACGCACACGGGAGAGAAGCCATTTGCCTGTGACATTTGTGGCAGAAAGTTTGCCAGGAGCGATGAGAGGAAGAGGCACACTAAAATCCACCTTAGACAGAAGGACAAGAAAGTGGAAAAGGCAGCTCCAGTCTCGACCGCTTCTCCAATTCCTGCCTATTCGTCCTCTGTGACTACATCCTACCCTTCCTCCGTTGCCACCACTTATCCCTCCCCGGTGCGCACAGCGTATTCTTCTCCCGCTCCCTCTTCCTATCCCTCCCCRGCGCACACCACGTTCCCATCCCCTTCTGTAGCGACCACTTATCCCTCTGGCACTGCCACTTTTCAGACCCAAGTGGCCACCTCCTTCTCGTCTCCGGGAGTCGCCAACAATTTCAGCTCGCAGGTGACCTCAGCACTTTCAGACATGAACTCARCCTTTTCTCCAAGGACAATTGAGATCTGCTGAGGCTACCTTCTGGAACAGGAGAATTCACATTTTCCATCTGTATTATCGGACTCGGAGTCTCCAGTTACTCTCATGACACCGTATGTTGCAAGGCTATTTAGTTTAAACTTCAGCTGCCTGAAACAACTGCTGCTTAAGTTTTCCACCCGTTGAATKACTTAATTTGCATGGACTGTGGATATAATTTCAATATAATTTTCCCCGTAAACAATAGTCTTTTATTAGAAAGAAAGGACTTTTGATTAAGTATCTAGCTGATGTAAATTGTACATGTGCCATGGTTTTGCTTTCCTTTAGGTACTATTGATGTGGAAAAAAATCTTTGCATATTCATATTGTATAATTTGGAGTTTGCAGGGCCATATTTTGTAAATGTTAATTCTATTTCAGTGACAATGCTAYAATGCGTTTCAAATTTCTTCGGGAACAGCACTTAYTGTATTTGAGCATGTTAGAGTGATGCTRTGTAAATTTCACCTGATGAGACACTCACATTGGGCAGAAGTTTTGTTTTAGAAGTTACAAGTCTTGGTGCCTTTTTGTGAAGCCTTGCTGACGTCATGCATTTGTGCGAAYGGATGCTTTGCATCTTGCCTTAAAGTGAAAGGGATGTTGCTCAAAGAATGTAAGGAAGACCAGGGAATGGGTGGGGAGAGGAGCAAGAAAAAGGCCCAGGGGATGGAATGTAAGCAAAAAAAAAAAACCCTACACCCTCTCCCCCACCTCTCAAAGTCTATTTTTGTTACAAATATGTAAATTTTTATATATATATACATATATATATTCAGGAGTYGGAATGTTGTAGTTACCTACTGAGTAGGCAGCAATTTTTGTATGTTATGAACATGCAGTTCATTACTTTGTCGTTTACTTTTACTTTGTAATTGTGTTTGTTAAAATGAAAGTGACCGTTTGGCTTCTAAACACATGGAATGCGCTTTCCTGCCATTGGGATATTTGGTGTACAATACTCTYCAGAAAAAAATAAATAAAACATCGAATTGTGCAGACTTACACATTTTACTTTAAATTACTATTGAGGAAGACCGCGCGAGAGCAATCCCAACTCCTTCGGTTGCCTCAAAGCTCCGAGCGCTGCTCGCCTCTTGGAAAAAAATGCCTGTTTGAAGAAAGGAGAGGAAATCAATCTTATGTCCAGTTGCTCGCAAAAGCGTGGACCGAGCACACACGTCCTTGCATTAGGTGCATCATCAGCTCTTTAGAAGCAGCCACAATTACTGTCTTCTGGCCTCTCCAGAGCTAACCTTAGGTAGAAAAACAATTCTTCCGGTGCTGAAAATAAAGTTTGAAAATTAGAAATAAAGTTAGAAMATTATTCCCATCCAGCTGGGAGGAGATCACTTGTCTGAATTGTATCCCATTGCAGGAAGATCCCCRWACYGTGGAGCCTCTAGCTTGAGGAAAAACAAAACCGTTKACATATGACAGCTAGGGTCATTGTCACGCAGATACACTTTGGTGTAACTGCCTAGAGAAAGCTCATAACGGAAGCATTGGCATCTGGTCTAAGATGCGGCAACCTGCGCTTTGCATTTGCTGCCCTTGCATATAATGTGAAGGAAATAAATGCATGGGGTCTTCTGATCCCACTATTTCCATGGCCTTTGTCCCAKAAAATGAAAGCAGATTTCAGGGTTGAGAAAGCACAGACCGTATATTTTCTGTGATATCTTTCGTTTGCTGTTGGCCTGGAGACAGGATTTCTGATTCTTAAAAAGTTTGCTTCTAGTCCAATTAGGAGGGTGAGTCRGTTTCAAGGAGGCTGTTCCCTAGGAAACAGCAGGTGTTGTCACTGGCCGGGAAAACCCTTCCCCTGCGGGAAGTGCAGCGCCGAGGTAGGAAACGAAGACCTCTAGCTTTTACATTCACGCACAGAAAACCCATTTGCTCGAAACCAAACCTCAGCTGCTTGCGATTTATAGCTCAGCTCAGATCTTACCACTGCTGACAGGAAAGGCCGCTCTGGCGGGAGGCGGGGGGGGCCGCGCCAGCGCCGGGAGCGCGCCGGGGCCGGCCCTGGCTGAGCGGAAGCACCGCCTCCGCAACGTCCGGAACCATGCCGACCATATTTGGCATTTCCTCCGTGCCTTTTGTGGCACTTCCGTGGCCCAAAAAAGGAGCTTCCTGCTCGGGCTTTCCGGGGCCGAGACGCGCAGACGTCGCGGTGCTGCGCAGCACGCTCTCCCTCGTTTCCCCGCCCCTTTTTCCCCCTCCGCTTCCCCCGTCTTCCCCCACCTTCTCCCCCCACCTTCCCCCCTTCTGCCCCCCTCTTCTCCCACCCTCTTCTCCCTTCTCTTGGGGTGGGCTCGGGAGGCCCTCTCTGGGGAGGGCGCGAGCTCCGCACCAACCACGGATCACCCGGCTGGCAGCTCCGGGCAGCGGAASRCTCTGCTCTGCATCGGGCCGAGCGGCGGSYCGCWGCCCTCCCTGGGGCTCCCGAGGGCCGCCGGAGGGCAGGCTGGCYGTCAGCGCTTCCTCGCTGCCGGCTGCTGTTCCTTTTCGTTAATAGGGACTGAGTCGCTCTTCCTACACGCCTCCGAAATAGGTAGGATGCGGTCTAACCTGGGGAGTTTTGCAGAGGAGTGACCTTGTCCACCCAGGCTTTTCCTCTGCAGAGCCTTTCCGTAAGCGACCGTTCACGTGGGGAAGAGTGGATAGTCCTAGTAGCTGTTTTGTACTTTAATTGCACTGGAGAAGAATGATTCTTCGGTTTTCTTTCCCTTTAGAAAGAAGGAGCTAAAAATTAGTTCGGGCATACTCGGAGCGCAGTACGTGCTGTGGCACGCTGTGTGGCTTGTTGCATCGTGCCCTTTCGTTTTCTCGAAGTGCCACTGGAGACCCTCTGTACAGCTGGTAAAATGCAGATATTTCTCCTGCGACTGGGAATTGCTCTTGCCAAGCAGCTCACGGGCCCTGACTGAAGAGGCAATACGGAGAAGAGAGAGCTGTAGGCAGAGGCTTTGTAGCRGAGAGTTAAGCGGTCACGGGCCTTTCTTTCCTTTAGGGCTTTCACTCGTACTCGTCCRGATTTTGTGCATCTGAGCAAGACCTCAGGTAACCCCAAGAAAAATAACTTTGCAGACTCTAAACTGGCAGCTGGCAGACCGAAGGTGATCTAAGCTGCAGCAGATGTCCTCACAAGGGCTGCCCGCTAGCACGCGCCCACTGTTGTCGGGTTTGACTAAAGCTAAGCGCAGTGGCTGAAGGCCGGCTCACGAAGAGGGTCTTTGACCCCTTCTAAATCGAACTGTTAACTATGGCTGACCTGTRCTAAAGCAAACTGCGCTATTAAGTAGGGCTAGAGTATGCGTTGACTTTTTGTTATAAGTGGCCGTTCATTTAGAATTTTTTCTGTTTGTCACCCCAGTAGACTTTAGAATCCTCTAGTTTTGAGTGTAGATAATATATTTTTGCAGAGAGCTTGGTGGTGTGATTCTGGAGCTAAACATTCCATGTTTTAACCTGTKTAATTAGCCCTAATAAGTACCAGTTAAACCTAGAGGAGAGATTGCACGTTTTAAAGTTCACGGAGACTGTAGGATGAAATGTGAGATGTAGCTAAAGAACAAGAACTTTAAAAATAGCTATGGTTTTCTGCTATAGTCAAAGAAACTTTTTTTTTAAAAAATCAGCCTCAACTGATAGACTGATGATTTTTGGTCTTGATATAGCTGAGGCTGATGCTTATACATTATCTCTAGTACTCTGTAGGCTTCATATGAAGTGATAATTTTTCGGCACTGTCATAACAAAAAKTATAGTTACACAAAAGTATTTTCCATGTGTGTATTTCACTTCCTTAAATACAAAATATATCAGTAAAGTATTCTTCTTGATTTTTTTTTCTTAATAAGCACACAGACTTATCTTTTTCTTTTGAGAGCTTTCCATAGCACTTTTTTATATCTCTAAACACAAATGATCTTACACAATGGTACCACCGGTAAATATTGATAGCTGAAAGTTGTGCTATTCATGTCCTCTGTTAGGTTGACCTGAGTAATATGATGTGTTTTCTGTTATCCCAGCTGGTGTGATAGTGGGCGTCTCCCATAACAGTACAACTGTTGATCACTAGTAGATCTGCAAAGATCAGAGTTGGAGAGAAGGGGAGAAAGAATTTTGATTTGATTGTTAAAAGGCACCACATGCTTTCATTCTTTTGGTAAGAAGCAGTTTAAACTTTTAAATATTACTTTTCCCGTCAGTGGCTGTTCTTCGGTATGACGAAGTTAGTCGGGGATGGCTTTAGAAGCTCTTGCAAACGTGTTACATAATGAATACTCAAAACCCGTTTATCAGTAGCGAGTCTGAACTGACCGGTGCCTTCCGATGTGCAACGTTTTGTGAGCTTAGCATGTGAACTGGACCTATGTGTCCAGGTTTGCCTGCATTTACACGAATTCCAGCCTCGGGGAGCTCTCAAAATAGTTTTAAACACGCCTTGGTAAAATCTAAGCGTGAGTCAAAAAAGTGTGATAAAGCTGTAGAGTGAATGTGTTTAGTTTTACGATTTGAAATGATTTTGACTATATTTTTCTTTGGAATACCTGAAAGAACACTGGGGCATAAGGAAATGAACTGACAGGCTCGATGACTAAACCTTACTACCGACTTCCTTGAACAAAATGTCAAAAGTGGTTCTTAGAGTACTGTCTAAAAGGCTTCTTCCTAATTAGATGGAGAACTGGAGTTGGAAATATGACACATAGTTGAAGCCAATGCCCAGCAGCAGCATTTTGTTCTGAAGATACTTGTAATTAAAGTTTCCGGCCATGATTCTTGAGTTCTGCTTGTGGAAATAAGCTTGAGAATTATAAGAAACTCCAGATGCATTCAAGTGCACCAGAAAACATCTCTGAGGCATTGAATTTAATGGCCGAAGCTATTCATACATCTCATGCTTTTCTTAAGAAGGAGCTCTTTTGCGTATAAAACAAGTCACCTGAGGTGTTGTAACTGTAGGTGTAATGTGCCACAGATCTCTGGGGTCATAAAATGAGGACATGATGATCTTTAAGAAAGCATGCCTACATTAAAGTACAGTAGTTAATAAGCAGGGAAACACTTATGGCATTTGTTAAAGGAGTTGTTGCAGTCAAAACGAGTTCAGTCTCTGGTCCATTGTCCAAGATGGCCCTGGAATATTTTTCTGGTGATTGTCATCTGTGGCCGATAAATTTAATGAGCTAGAGGTCACGTCTGCACATATCTTCTAACATTGTCCAAGTGATTTATTAAGTTATACCAAGTTTTAGCATTGACAATATCTGATGGAAAAGCGAATTTGACAATCTCCAGGTACTGCGGTGAAGAGAGAGAGAGAGATATGTGTGTTTAGACCGGTACTTTGTAAGTTCATGTGACACCTCTTAACCTTCCATGTTAACTGCTGAACTTTGTCACGCCTTTCCCAATTGGCCGAAGAAGCGGAGTCTGTTTTGTACGGCAGCGAATTTGTATTTTATATCATACGTGTGTATCTTCTAGTGCTTTTTGTCATAATGTTAGCTCATTTCGGAGGGCTAGAGGTCTGCATCATACACCATATTCAAGATGCGAGAGCAATGTGTATTAATTGTGATGTACTTTTCCCCTTCTCCTATGTTTTCTGTTGTTTTGCARGTGTTTCCAAGTCTTCCATCTGACTTTTTGTTTATTTTCCCATTGCACGGGTCTCGCATCAAAGTTGTGATAACGGAGGTTTGTCAGCACAACAAATGGGTTTTGCCCAAGGTAGATGGGTTTATAAAATACATGTAAAAATAATAACAAGTGCTGGTTTTTTTGTGTTTTGTTGTTGTTGTTATTGTTGTTGTTGTTATTGTTGTTTTGGTTTTGTTTTTTAAAAGACAAATCAGCTTCAGAAGACAATAAAACTGGCTCTAACCAGAATGAGTAAAATGACCTGGAGGAGGTATTAAAAATTGAATGCCTTGTTTTGTTTCTTGATGTACCAGAGAATGTTGTTTTGCCTAAATAGAATTTAACAGAACATAAATGCATATAGGTTCCATTAGAAATATCAAGCCACACTTTTATTAGCTCTTCCGTCCGAGCGGGACGAATGCTCAGAAACGGGAAACACGTCTTTTTCTGAAGCGAGACTAATGGGTGGAAAGAACGGCCTTCCGGGGGCTTTTTTTTAGGGCTACTCTTTATGCATTTYCTGTTAGGGTCTATTGTGTTTTTAAAGGAGAAGAAGCAAAGTCACTGTAGCKCATGCCATCTGTTCACAGACTTGGAAGGCTGGTGACCTGACTTCAGTGACTGGCAGGACAGAAGTGTCAGGGATTTTACCCTTTTCCTCTAGGATGCTGGTAGCTTACGATTGCTTTTGAAAGCAGACATAGCCAAATGGTAGTATAAGTGGTAGAGTTATACTCTCGTGCAGTCTTTATAGAGTTGTGATAATTTTTCAAGTTTAGAGAGAGCGGCTTGTGCCGTATTTACGTGACAGAGCTCCATTTGGCTCTATCGGAGATGGCGCCGGTAAGCTTTAGATGCCATATGCTGCCACCTTATGTTTAGAAACAAAACCGACCGTGGATGTTCATACTAGGAAATACCTGTGCCAGTAACGCTCAGGTGACCTTGTAACTGTAGGTCTAGTCTTGATTATGAAACCAATCACATCAAGTTATGCAATTTGGATTCCTTTGGGAATCTGTGGCGGTGGTGTCATCTCCCCATTTGTGTGCATTTTTTCCTTTCTCCTTTYGAGTTCCTCCTTCATCTCACAAGGAGTAGAAAATTGTTTTGTTTTCTAGCTCAGGGTGCCCGGAGACAACTACCGGAATGCGTATCTTTGGAACACTACGGACATCTGAAAGTTTATAACTTCTGTTTTTTGACACTGCTTTTCACGGTTCGTTCCCATTGTCAGTGGGCAGCAGGCAGAAGAACAGAGAATGTTCTTTGAGACGTTGCGTAAACTCCACGCTTCCAGATTTTTGTATAAAGGAGTACTAGCCAAAGCCGTTCCCGGTATCAGGGAAGGCACAAAGCAGCACTGAACGACCTTCAGTGCACACCGCAGTCTGGGATGCCCACCGCAGTCTGGGATGCCCATCTATCTCGGGCTGTCTATGGTGCCAGATAGGAGAGGAAGCGCTTTTATTCTCCCTTTGTCTTCCCATTTGTGTGCACCAGCTGGGTACAGTTGAGAGTAAAAATAGTTGAGTGCCGCTTGGAACACCTGGCCTTAGGTACGTGTTTTTCAACATTTGAAAGAAGTCCAGTTGGGTCAGAAAGCATGTCTTTAAACAAGAGTCTGGCTGCGGTGAGGATACGTGAACAGACCTGGTTCTGTATRTATGTATTCTGGAGCATAATGGAAAATTTCTAAATTCCCACATGGTATCTGAAAGGATGATAATCTCATCTTTGTCCTTCCAACTGCTCCTAAAATCCCAGATAAATCGAGAAAAGTGTGTGACTTGAAACTGTGATTATGAAAGTACTCTCTGTAATGGGTGACGCCTCTCCTTGCTTTTCGATTACTCCGAACGTGGAATATGGTACGTTCGTACCACATTGGCCACGACTTCCCACGGTGCCTTTCCACGTGTTCTAGCAAACCTGTAGCGAAAGCTTATCCCGAACGATGGAATCCATTCTGGGGTACGGGTGGACAAGTCTGCATAAGGCTCACGCACTGCTGTCAGAGACTGAAATAGTTTGTGCCTCAAACATTGATGTAAAGTTTTATTCATTATAACAAAAGCTGTAGAAGGAAGCTGTGACCAAAGAAGCCTTCCTGAAGATACCTGACTGGGACTTTGGACTGTAAGTTAAGCTGCCGAGATAGRTGCCATTGTTCAATCATCTCAGCCTAGGGAGAAACAAAGCTGAGGGAGAGGA